AGGGGCCTAGCGGGGCACCATAAAGAAGTTGTGCTATTGGCTTGGCTTTAAATAATTTGAGTGCTGCAGGAATATAGTGGCCACCTCTTGTCTTGAGGAATTTAAGGATGCCAGATGAGCTCCTCTGTGCATTTTCAGCAACATAGGCCCCATGGGCTTTCCTGCTGCTAGCGGAATGAAGGACTACCCCCAGGTATTTGAAAGAGGAGACCTGCTCAATCTTGTGGCCATCTATGCTCCAGGAGTAGCTCTTGGGCCTTTTGGCAAATGCTATGATTTTAGTTTTCTGATAATTGAGTTCTAATTGATCTTCTTTGCAGTACTGTGTTAAATGTTGAGAGCCAATTTGGTCTAGTGGTGAAGGCTCCAAGCTAGAAACCAGGGGACTATGAATTCTAGTCCCACCTTAGGCATGAAAGGCGACTGGGTGACCTTGGGCTAGTCCCTCTCTCTCAGCCCCCGATGTCAGGCTTGGGTGACAAGCCGGTCGGTCAATTCCTGTCACAACCAATGGATCAACAATTGGTTGATCCAGGGGGAGAAAAAAAGTGGACTAAAACACTAGGAAGAAAAAAAAAGGACACGTAGCAGACCTCAGTGCTTTCTCTGATTAGGAAATCCCAAGTACATGCTGTTACAAAGCTGCATTGGCGACGAGAGTATCCTTCCCCAGTTTAAATTGGTTTTTCATCCTTGACTGGGAAGCCATGAGAAACTGAATCCTGGCTAGAAGTGACTCATCACCATTAATACCTTCTCCTTGTTCCTGCAGATATTACTGATCCATCCAGTATCAGGTCTGCTGTAACAATGGTTACGGAGAAGCTGAGTGGAACTGGGTTGAATCTGCTGATCAACAATGCAGGAATTTCCAAGTTCAGTGCCAAACTAGAATTTGAAGCACCTGAAGACATGGCTGAGGTCTACAAAACCAACGTGATTGGGCCCATGATGATTAGCCAGGTAGTGAAAGCATCCCCCTCTCCTCTTAGAACCATTTCTTCCCACTGCTGAGTGCTTAACGTTCAGAAAATAAGTCATTGACTGACAGGGCTTTCTGGTGGTTGAATAACAGCATGCCTTTTCCCGCAGAGCAGGTACAGGTCAAAATATTAAGAACTTCCAAAGAGGTAGAATTTCCATGGATACGGCTTTTATGCTTGTGGAATTGGCCCTGTTGAAACTGTCAAATGAAAAAACCAGCAGACTTCTTGTGAGCGATTGCTGGACTCTGGTTTATTTTTAGACCATAGATTTTGCAACGGGAAGAGATGGCCATACCCATGGTCCTGCAGATAGTCCACAAGAACAATTCCTAATGCTGATAAATGCTGGGAATTGTAATTTAGCAACAATTGGGGGGTCACTAGCCTATGAATATGTGGTTGCCCTACGTTCTTTCTGTCTTTTCTAGGCATTCCTACCTTTGCTGAGGAAGGCATCTGAGGAGAGTTCTGAGAAAGGGATGAGCTGCAGCAAAGCCTCCATTGTCAATATGTCCAGTCATGCAGGCTCCATCACAGATGTTTACTTGTGGGAGTTAGCACAGGTTGCTTCTTACCGTTGCAGCAAGGTAATGGATATACTACTGATGCAAAGGGTGGGGGATAATTAAAATAACTCTGTACAGGTAGTCCTCGTTTACCAACCACAATTGGGACCAGTAACTCAGTCGCTAAGTGAAGCGGTCACTAAGTGAAACTGCAACTGTGCCTATGATCTTACTTCGGGTTTCCTTTGCTTTATAGACCAGGCCCAGGAATCACAAAGGCACAACAAAGAACCAAGGCTCACCAAAATCAAATGTAGTAGGTTGTGAGAATGCAGCGGCTGCCTGTTCAACCTGGTGAAAGATGGGTACAAATGTAACCAGCATGCATCATTCAGAAGGGAAGGCTGGATCTGCCTTCTGCTTCCGTGGGTGGCCACATCCCTGCCTGTTGGTGCATCGCTTTGGGGAAACTGGCCCTGAGGGTGACATTTTGAGGGCAGTTGGAAGAGTAGCCAGGTCAGAGAATGGATAGTGGTGGTTCTGCCATCAGGGAATAAGGGCTGGTCCTCCTGCCAGCTCAGATGGTGAGTCCATACCTGGTGATAATCAGGCTGAGGGTAAAAAATAGGGCCCTTGTTCATATTCAACTTTCACAAGATCACTCTCTTCACAAGCATACCCCCCCTACTCTTTTCTAAGGCACAACAGTGGAATTTTTAACTAGCACAAGATGTATACTATCCCTTCCCTTCCCTTCTTCATCCATTTACCCCTTCCCTTCCCTTCCCTTCCCTTCCCTTCCCTTCCCTTCCCTTCCCTTCCCTTCCCT